TACCTTCCATGGGCCGAAATTGCTCAGAATTCGCTTACCAGCTCAACTACTAATCTCACTCCGTTTCAGTGTATGTATGGTTACCAGCCCCCTCTTATGCCATGGACTGCCACTCCTTCTGAGGTTCCTGCCGTAGAATCCTGGATGTCTCGCAGTGAACAGGTTTGGGAGGAGACCCATCAACGGATCGAAGCCGTACTCCGGAGACAAACGCCATGCTGATCGGCAACGTGGTGACACCCCTTCTTACTCCATAGGAGACCGAGTATGGCTTTCGACCAGAGATTTTCGGTTTTCGGAGGGAAGTAAAAAACTTCTACCCAAGTATATTGGTCCATTCAAGATCCTAGATAAAGTTAATGATGTTACTTACAAGTTAGACTTACCTGTTCAGTATCGAGTATGTAACACCTTCCATGTGTCTTTGCTTAAGCCCGTAGTCTCTGGTCCGCTGAATGAGGTCACGCCCGACGCTAGTTCCCCGCCTCCTGTGGTTATGGAGGGAGCACCCGTCTACGCTGTTCGGCGGCTCCTGGACTCACGTCGGCGTGGAAGGGGCCTGCAGTATCTTGTGGACTGGGAGGGGTTCGGACCGGAGGAGAGGTGTTGGGTACCAGCGGAGGACGTGTTGGATCCCGCCTTGGTGGAGGAGTTCCATCAGAGTCATCCATCACGCCCCGCACTGCGTCCCCGTGGTCGTCCTCGTCTACAGTCTTCCAATCCTTCCGGTGGTAGTCGGCGAGGCCGTCCCAAGTCCCGGCCCCTGGGTGATGCCCAAGGTAGCAGGCTTTCCAGTGGATCTGTCCAGAGTCGTGGCAGCTCGGGTGGCTCTCCCACTGGGGTTCCCATCCGGGGGGGGCTGGTCGTCGTGGTCGTCCTCGTTCGCAAGCTGTCTTGGACTTTTTGGGGGGGGAGTACTGTCACGCTTCCGGGTTCTCCTCCCTTGTCTAATACTCTCCAGGACTCCAATTCCCATGATTCCAATCCTGATGTCACTCCTTCCACCAATCACACACAGCTTCCTCGTTCTCAGTCACTTGAGTATTAATGCAATACACCTGTGTTTGTTTGTCCCAGGCTTTAAATAGTTTCTGGTTTGTTCTCCTCATTGCGAGGTATTGCCCTTCACTGGACTACTGAGCGGTTTTCTACTGTTTTTCTGACTTGTGTATTGGACCCTTTGCCTGTTTTTTGGATATTGTGTTTTTGTGTTTGCCCTTTTGCTCCGGTCGCTTGTGCATTTTGTATCTTCTGGTTTTTTGACTTTTTGCAAGGCTTTTGGATTCTGATTTTGGATTTGCCCTGAAACTGTCTGACCGTCTTACTGTCTCTCATTAAACCACTTCCTTTTTAAGATCCGCGAGCGTCTTTCTGTGCTTGTGCAGCATTACAGTTACTTCACTGTTTCCAAAAAAGTTTCTAAAAAAGTTGTGGCACTGTGCAAAATGTAAATAAAAACAGAATGCAATGATGTAAAAAATATTTAAACACTATATTTCCTTGAAAATAATACAGAGACAACATATCAAATGCTGAAACTGAGAAATTTTAGTATGACTTTTTAAACATTTATGCCTGTTTTGAATGTGATGCCAGCAAGATGTTTCAAAAAGGTTTGGACAGGGGCAACAAAAAACTGGTAAAGTTGTGTAATGCTAAAAAAAACACCAGGTGGAAAATCTCACAACTAATTAGATTAATTGGCAGCAAGTCAGTAACATGATTGAGTGTATAAAGAGCATCCCAGAGAGGCTGAGTAAAAGATCCCTAGTAAAGATGAGGAGGGGTTCACCACTCTGTGAAGGCTGCACAGGCAAATAGTACAACAGTTCAAAAATAACATTTCTCAGCATAAAATAGCAAAGAACTAATCATCTACAGCACATAATGCCATCAAATGATTCAGAGAACCCAGAGAAATCTCTGCAACGGGCAAAGCTGAAAACCAATATTGGCTGGCCATGATCTTTGGGCCCACAGGTGACACTGCATTAAAAACAAACACTATTCTGTAGTGGAAATCACTGTATGGGCTCAGAAACACTTCTGAAGACCACTGTCTGTGAACACAGTTCATCATTGCATTCACAAATGCAAGTTAAAACTCTACTAAGTTAAAAATGTAAATAAACAGGATCCAGAAACGCTACCACCTTCTTTGGGCCCGAGTAAAGAGGAGAGGGTCCATTCAACTTGTTATCAGTGCACAGTTCAAAAGCCAGCATCCGTGATGGTATGGGGGGGGTATTAGTGCACATGGCATGGGTGACTTGCACATCTGTGAAGGCACTGCTTCAGCACATGCTGAACAATATATACAGTTTTTGGAGCAACACATAATGCCATGCAGACAACGTCTTTTTAGGGAAGGCCTTGCTTTTTTCAGCAAGACAAGGCTAAACCACATTCTGCATGTATTACAACAGCATTACTCCATATTAAAAGAGTCTAGGTGCTAAACTGGCCTGCCTGCAGTCCAGACCTGTCACCCCACTGATAACATTTGTCACATTATGAAATGAAAATTATGACAAAGGAGACCCCGAACTGTTGAACAGCTGAAATCCTATATCAAACAAGAACAGGAAAACATTATACTTTAAGAACTACAGCAGTTGGTTTCCTCAGTTCCCAAACACTCACAGCGTGTTGTTAAAAGAAGAGGTGAATCAACACATCATTGCATTCTGTTTTTATTTACATTTTGCACAGCGTCCCAACTTTTTTGGAAACGGGGTTGTAATTATTGGTTTGACATTATGAGGTCTAATAATGACAGTTAATAATGACAGGTCTAATAATGAGTTGAATAGATTCATTCTATTATCGTTTATGTAAAACACATTAAAAACAACAAAAAGAAGGAGAGAATGATATATAAATGTATATTTCAAAGGTGATTTGACACATGATGTCAAAGTTTTAATAAACATTATTACATTTATTTAACTATATTTGTTATGTGTTATGTTACTTTATATAATGAAAACCCTGGAAATAAAAACCATGAAAATGGCTTAAGTTAATAATGCAAGCCACATGAATGTTTCTGTGTGTGTTTAATTTGAGTTTGTTGAAACGTTGACGCTGAACATTTCTTTCTGTAATTGTATGATAATCTCTAACACAGAAATAGTGCTGCGTCTTCATCCCTGTTAAATATGATCATTAGAATGTGCAGGTTAGTGAATATTGTGATTGTAGTTTATTGTCTTCCTTCATTTGTCCACCAAACTGCAGCTGCACTGATCAATATGCGGCCGTTTGCTGATTCCAGTGTTCATTGTGAAGAGGAGCTACAGTGTCCTTAAGCCACCTAAATCAAAATCAGCATCCAAATCAAACGTTTAATAACCTTCACCTGACAGTCTGAAATGAGACTGTGAAAAGTCTTGTGAGGTAAAGTTAGTTTCATTTTCACTTTCTTTCTTTAGTAGTATTCAAATGATGGGTGCAAAATGTCAATATGGGTAAATTATCATAGGTTTGTAACTAAGGAGATCAGCTCCTACTTATTTTTAAATTTCTATTTTAATGCCTATTTGTACTCGTGAAATTTCTATGGACTGAAACTGCTGAGAGCTGATTAGGGAGCATCTAAAAATTATGATTGTCAAAGGCCAAGTGTGACGCATCAATACGAAAACAAATGATGGCCAGTCAGAGTGTTTAAAATGGCCTCTATTTATGATTATTGTTGAAGAGTAGTCTCAAAAGTAGATTTCTACCAGACTGATCTTTCGACTTTGGCATAAAAACAACAAATTTGTAATAAATAAGGCAAATAAGGAAAGGTCTCAGGACAGCAGTTGTAGTCTCAGTATACTGATTTTTACAATTTTTTCTTTTTAAAATCACTCACTTTCTTCGCTGGGTAGAGAAGCTTGATTTCTGAACTTCAGGGTTTGAGTATACATGTTTAAACTCAAACAAATTATACTATTATTGACATTTGTATGATGTCAAAAGGAGCAGCTATGCAGAACTTGGTGGCTGTAATGAAAAATCTATTTCATTAAACACAGTTGAATATTCTGCTTTATGCGCATCAGTATATTATTATGTCTGTCTGCATTACTCTACAGCACCTACTACTGAAATGAAGACAAGATTTGTTTGTAAAAAAATTAAAACCATTTATTTGTGTCTAAATGTTTGTGTACAAAATTGCTTTTAGGCTTTTAAAATGTATTAATTAGTTATTAGCAGTGTCTATATCTGACAGTTACTGTTTATGATCAAGTCTCTCTGAGGTTTGTAGCTGCAGAGAGAATTTATAGCTCCATTTAACATAACATGACTAAATAAAAGGGAGACTACTGAGCTGATAGATTGTGGTGAACAAACAGAAAAGAAAAAGGAGGAAAAACTAAAGCCCTAAAAGCTCTCAGTTTAAGAGTAGTAAAGGAATTAAACCAGGTTCATTCCATTTAGATGCTGCTGCCCTCTTGTGGTCAGAGAACAGACTGGATGTTCTAAATCTTTCAAATGCTAAATGTAGCTTGATACAAAACATCATTCATAACGAGCTTTTTCTTCAGTCTTTAACATTACAGTGTAGAACAACTCTCAGTTTAATAGAAGTGTAAAGATTTTATATCACAAGAAATATACAGTGTTTTGAAGGCCTGTAGATGTTACTGGAAAACTGAATAAAAATGTGTCAGACAATAATAAATAAAATAAATTAATACATTTATTAATATAAAATAATAAATAAAATAAAAATAAAGATGTTCCTACATTAGTGTCAGCAGTGCTCTGCATTAGAAACAAACACTGATAAGACACTGAAAGAGCTTTTATAATGTTATCAGTAACTACAGTGTAATATTCACTGATGCTCTGCTTTTGATTCCACATTTACTTCTATCACTTTGCTGAACATCAACAAAATATTTCAGAGCTTTATTGAGTCTGAAAGTGTTGATAAGAGTGATAACAGTAGTGATGTTAGCTGAGCTGTGTTTAACACTGATTAATGCTCTTTTCCCCAAAAGACTGTGTGAAGAACACGGCTGCCTGATGAAGAATCTCCTTCATGATGATGATGAAGGTGTGAGTGAGTCTCTCTCTGAATATTCCTGCTGAAAGTGTTTGTATCAAAATCAGATATTAATTTAAAATGTGTGTTTGGTGAAGATGAAGGACTGCATAATAATTATGAAGCTTTAGACAAGATTACTCTCTCTCTCTCTCTCTCTCTCTCTCTCTCTGTAGGATTGTATTAGTGTGAATCTGTAGGAGGAGATAAAGAGATAAAAATGGCGGCTGCAAGAAACAGTAAGTTAAACTTCCAGAACCTACAAAAGGTTTTACTGTGAACATCATTAAATAATATTCAATCAGAGAGTTTATTTTTATTGTGGAGACACACAAGACACAACTATTAATGTGTGTGTGTGTGCGTGTGTGTGTGTGTGTGTTTCTACACAGCCAAGTTTAAACTCTTTGGACCTCAAGGTGGTGAAAAGTATGAATTTGGCTCTGCTCTCACTCTCTCCTGTCACCTGTCTTCTGAAATCAGTGCTGTTTCCATGGTGATCAGGTGGTTTAAGGGGACAGACTGTGTTTGTCTCTATAAGAACGGGCAGGTGACAGAGGGGAGGGGCTACGAGGGCAGAGTGAGTCTGTTCACTCAGGAGCTGCAGAGAGGAAACATCTCCTTACAGATCAGAGACTGCAGTGAGTCAGATTTAGGAGTTTACCTGTGTCGGGTCACCAATGGAGACAGAACAGAGGAGTGTACAGTAACAGTAGAAGTGAGAGTACATGCGGGTAAGTATACCAGACGTTCACTCTACATAAAGCCAATATCATCATCGGCATCTCATTTCCAAATGAAAGATGAAAAGACAGAAATGAGAAACACAGATGTTCAGAATGTTGTTGTGTTCAGATAAAGGAGGTATGACCATTTGCTTTAACCACAACATTTCAAACTGAAAGTCATGTTTTTGATTATAAAATACTTGTTCTCTTTTAGTTAATGTTTAATTACGATTTAGGTTTGGTTTGGTTATGATTGGTTATTTTGAATTATGTTTGTGTTTGATGTGATTAACCCTTAGAGCCCTAGCACTATTAGGTGTGTTTTTTCCCCCGTTTTTGTCAGTTCCTCTTTCAGTTGTTGTAACTCTAGTAATTATATGAGACAGCCACATGTTATATGTGGCTTCTCAAATATATAAACACCTGAGTTGTAAATGCCCACAGAAGTTTGATATTTTTATGAAACTGGACATGTTTTGATCAACATTTACCAAGCGCCTGTTTATTTTTACTTATTTTTGACTGTATCTATTCAAAGCATCAATTCACAGCTTAGATGTCAATGAGAAAGTTTTAGTGTCTATGAGTTGAAATATAAGAATTTTGATGATTGTTCATTACATGGCTTATGACTGTGAAATAGTATGTGAGTAGCATCAGGCGGACATTTTTTTTTTTTGATATTCTCACCTAAAGGAGACATGCAGGTTGCTAAAACTGCATGTGACAGACTGACACAGCAGGTCAAGCCTTTGGGTTTTTTGTTCAGGGCCAATATGGCTAATATTCCAGCTAATAAAACACTGTTTTAGTACACTGGGTGTTTATTATCAGCTGCTTATAATAACAATGACTCCTATAATAAAGAATCCTTCCAGAAATGATCAGATAAATACTGGTTTATTTAGAAAACACACAATAAAGAACCATGTACCATAATATAAACTTGAAATCTATATCAGTCCAGCGGTGTTGGACAGACGCCAAAAGACTCTGAAGGTGCGCACGCATCTCTTCAGTTCTAGAAGCGTGTGAACCTGTCCAACGCGCTGGTGCGAGGAAACACGTGCACAAACAGAGCGAGGAAAACTGACAAGATGTGGGTGCAGCTTCAGAGCTGGCTAATCTGAAGAGGCATTTTCGGTGGATAATACTGACTCATCTAATCAAATATTTGATTTGAAACACGATGTAAAATTTTAGAAGCCCTAATAGTAAATAACAGTAGTGGAAATAAAGCGAAATGCAGAGAAACTGAGTTTTACTTGAAGAATAGGAGACAAACTTTGAAGGAGCGTCTATTTTTACTGTTTTTCCACAGTGGATTACTCACAGATGCTTCATCGGACTGCGATGGCGCCGCTGTTTTTAGAAGTAGATTCTGCAGTTTCTAATGATATGCTTAGTAAACCACTGCATTAACAAACACAAACACAAAATCCGTCATTAGGGTTGTTAATGTATATTTATATTTATATTATTTTATTTGTCTAACTTTGTGTTTCCTTGTGTTTTTCTTTCCACAGCACTAGAGGTAAGTAAATAACTACTTCTTTCTCTGCTGGTAGTGACTGATTTTTATACTCTTATCACATGAACTACATTCAATACAGACATCAAGCAGCTACATAATATTGAGTTTCCGTTAAATTTCACATGATGAACAAAGTCTCTGATCTCAGAATGAAAGCTTTTGACTTCATCTGCCTCCTTCCTTCCCACAATGCTCCTGTGCATAATCCCACTGCACTGCAGAAATGTAGAGACAGTGAAGTTCACTGAGGAGAAAAAGACACAACAAATAAAAGCAGTCTGGCTCTGTTGGGAGTGATGTCACTGTTCTTGTGATGACGGAATATTTGAGTCATTCATCATCAGTACATCATTATCATTAGAGTGTCTCTCATTACTGTAGTTTTCCTCTCCTCCATTACTGAAAATAGCCCAGAACACACACAGCAGGAGCTTCTGACACACACTCACACACACTATCGGCCTGTTTGATGAGTCTCTATATCAGTGACTCACAACAAGCAGCAAATAATGAAGAGTCAGCAGCTCTGAAAGACTCGATTACTGAGATCCTCTCATCTCCTTCACTTCCATTCATCATCTCAGCTACAAATAACAGAGACTCACACAAGAGCTTTTCACACCCACCATATTCTACTGTTCTAGTGTCTCGTGTTCATTAGAGTTTGTGCTGAACACTCATTTTTCTTTTCTTCTATAATTCAGCTGTTTCTTTCACTGACTCTCAAATCTCACTGTCAACTCCAGAGGCAGGTACAAGCTGACCCTCAAGGACCCTTTACACACTTTTGTAGATGCAATGGAACAAGTTAATCTTAAAATGACTGATGGGTTTTTTTAAGAGGACAGATTACTTTCTCTCTCAATCAGCACCAATCCAGTCATTCTTATTAATACACCACAGTCATGATTGATTCTTAGTTTTAGTGACTGGTTTACCAAGACTTTTATACATTAAAAGAGTCAGTAATATCTGTATAATCTGACCATGATAATAATTTAAATTATTTATTTTTCAAATGTAAATTATTGTACAGTTCAACTTCAGTCTCTAGGAAGAAACGTGTCCACTGTGATTTATTCAGAAAAGTTATTTGTAAGTTCATTTCAAGCATTTAACACATAACTTAAAGCATGAAATCAGGCTGTTTATGTATTTATTTTATTTCTACAGTCTGTAATAAGACAGATAAGAGAGGAGAGAATGAAGAGGGAGGAGTGTAAGACAGACTGAAATACATATGAGTGTTTAGATTCTTATACATTGATCCTACATGATATCACTTTTTGTTCTTCTCTCAACACATCTATGATGAAATGAGAATTGAAAATAAAGCTGACTTTGTCTTTGATTCATTCATTTCAACAGTTAAATCACTTTAGGCACTCTGCTTCCACAATGTAGTGTACAGTTGAAAACTGTTCAAATAGTGCACAGTACACAACTAGCTGTGACTATGGCCATCTAATTAATATTCAGGATATTCAAATTTGTTTCAAAAAATTTTGAAAAACTTCCTTTTTTTTATTTTATTAATCAGTTTTTCTTCTTTAGGGCAAAAAAGTTTTCTATGTCTGGCAGGTGAGTACACTAAAGTTAATGCATCATTAACTTATTATAAATGATTAATAATAGCATTATAAATACCTCCCCATTCCCACCTGTTACCCAACAAGTTGTAACTTGTTGTCAGATGTTCAGTTTTACCCCTGTTATAAAATTCTGCTGTAACTCTGCTTTAATCTCTTCTTCCACGTAAGTTTAAATATTTCACTCAGCTAAAATCAGCAGAGTCTGTACTGTTAGTAATATCAGCTCTCAGTGATTCATACTGACACCAACCATCATCACATCTTCACTCTGTTTTATTCTCTTCTACAGAGTAAAAGAAAATGGACAGAAGAGGAGAGAATTAAAATGAGTGAATCTGTTCTGCTGACTGGTGAGTTTTAAAAGAGATACAAAATCAAACTCAACAACAGTTAAATAAAACACAATGACAGATAAACCCTTTAAATTCTAATGTGGGCAGGTTTCTCAAAACTATCTCTATATTAATATAGTGAAAAAAGATCAGTTATTTACATTTTGCACGTATTGCAAATGTGATTTATTAAATGATCACATCTTGTGTAACTGACTGATTTTGGTATAAATCATTCAGACCACTACAGTTTTAGAAACTTCTTGCCATTGTGCTGTTCTGGTAAAGACAGATTGTAAAGGACGTGATGGTTTTGGACTTTTTTTTTGTGAAACGTTTTTTTTCAGTCTTTATTTAAAGCATCTGATTGGCTCACTGGGCTTTTGTCTGCAGACAACAGAGCACCTGTAATGGTGATCACAGAAGGTAGACGCTTGCGGATAAAGGAGTTCAACCAGGCTTTAAATGTTGAAATCAGAATCCAAACTCATAGTCAAAAAGCAGGCAAAAATGTCAAAGCACAAAAACAGAGAACCAAAGCAAACAATCCAGAGGGGTAAACCAGAAATCAGAGTCGGGGAAACGAGAATACAAGTCATACATGAAAATAACACCATAGAAATACTGCTCAGTAGTTCACGAATGAAGCAATACCTCGCAACTAACTATTGCTAAAGCCTGGGCTTATAAGCTAGTCTGAAGTAGTCATGTGATAAAACATACAGGTGTTACACATTAAAACTCAGGCAATCGTGAACGCTGATAGGAGCGAGTGTGGAGATCAGCAGTCAGCTGATCTCGCTCTTCACTCTGGGAGATGTAGTCCGTGTGTGGAATGGAGTCTGTAGGCAGTGAGGAGGTCATGTGATCTCCCAGAGGATTCTGGAAGATCGAGTCCATAGCCTCGTTGGTGGTATTCGTGACTAATAAGTAAATTTAATCCTTTAAATTCACAGATTTCTTTCATCATAAGGCTTATTATTCACAAACTGGACAGAAAGCAAAGCGAACTGAGGTATTGTTAAGTAGGCACTGGAGGGGGAGGTTAATACGTTACGGGGTTAAGAACTGCTGTTAATATCTTATGGCTGTTTTAAAACTGAATAATCCTGTTTATTCAGCTTCTTCCGCTGTTCTGTGGTTCTGAACAGCAGCATTCACTGAGTTTTAGTCTTGAATCAGTGATCTTAGCTCATCTCTGTGTAACTCTGTGTAGCTGCTGTGAGAGTTCAGATGGTGTCAGGAGATGAGGGAGGTGTCTGATAGGTCTGAAGGAGGAAGCTGAATCTTCTCATTAAATGCAGGTATTAGATGAACAGCGGAACAGAGAGTAGATTACCTAGCTTTAAGTCTGTGTTTGCAGTGGGTGAATTTACAGTTAGACTGCAGTTTGTGTATTAACAGTGCTAGCTTTGCTACCTTTATGGGAGTGATTCAGCATGAACAATGGGTTGCACTGTCAATACAAAATAAAAGGATTTGCAGAATAGTTTATTATTCAATGGAAAAAGTACAAGAATCAAGTGATAAAGAAATAAAATATTTGCAAGAAAGAAAAATATTTTAAGCATTTTTTTAACAATGAACCAGCTTCTACCAAAGCTATTTTACTGAAATAATATGTATCAAATCTTTGCCAAAATAAAATATATGTTTAATCAGTTAATTGTACAAATTGATATTGAACCTTAAATTGGTGCATTTCTGACAGAGGTTTCCAGAGACGCCAAACATTTTAAAGACAAAATAGGCCTTATGGTGAAGAAAAATGAACAACTGGAAGAAAAATGCAGAGAAATTCAAGAGAAAGAAAAACTTCTTACAAAAAGCACAGAGACTGTTCAGATGAAGGACAAGATGCTGGAAGAGAAAGAAACACTTCTTACAGAGACAAAAAGCAAACTAGAACAAATGAATAAAGAATCTGAGATGAATCAGAAACAGCTTAAAGATAAAGACACACAACTGGAGAATCAGATCAAACTGCTGAGAGAGAAAGAGACTCTACTGGAGATCACAGTGAAAGAGGGGGAAAGCAGTAAAAAGCAGCTGGAGACTCTGAGAAAGGAACTGCGGGACAAGAGCAGCAAACTACAGGAGATGATGATCCTACTGGAACAACAGAAAACTGAAGTGAGTGAAAAAGACAAACAGCTTGAAGAGAAGGAGAGACTTCTAAGTGAGAGAAACACACAGCTAATGGAAAGAGACAAGCAGGTTGAGGAGAAAGACAGACTTCTAGAGGAGAGAAACAAGCAGCTGCAGGAGAGAACAGATCCAGACTCAGCAGCTCCAACCAGGAGGAGAAACAGCAAAGAGATTGAGCCTGAAAAATGTAAGTATAATGGTTGAATGGAAATGCTTAAAATAAAATTCTTTAAACATAAATGTGTACATTGCTATAAAAATTTGATCACACACTGTAGTTGTCTAATAAATTAAAATACAGATCTATATTCCCGAAAAGAAATATGATTAAATAAGAATTAAAATAAATATAACAATTGTCAGTTATGCTGTAAAGTGTAGTTGTATAAGAGTTTGGTATTTGGTCAAACCAGCAAAACATCAAACAGCAAAATGTTAAACTCTTATACATGAATTTCATGATATAAACTACCAAAATCTGTTTATTTTATTCAGCTCTGTCCATTTAAATGAAGCGGCTCTTCAGATTTTTGTCTTTTAACTCTGGTTTATGCTGACCGCTGTCAGAAAACAGTGAGTGTTTCTCTACCAGAACAAGAAGAGCAGACTTGTGTTCTTGGGAAAAAAAAAACATTCCCTTTAAAGAATGACCTTTCGCGAATATGAGAACAGAGAAAGCATGTATAACAGTTTGAGATGTGCTGTGTTCTCACTGTTTATACTGTGCAGTTCTCTGAGCTCAGCTGTTTCACCAGCACTAACAGTAATTATTCTACAAGCTCAGAATGTGATACAAAAAATCTGTAAATATTTTATACAATACAAATGATTAAATCCAGTCTGATGTCACTGCTGATATAATTTAATTACTTGAAGCGTTACTTGTAATTAAGGGGTTAGCAGACCAACAGTAAAAATACAGTTTGTGTAAACACTAATTTAATAGTCACTACCACTAAACCAGAAGGTAAAAGACAAAATTAACAAAATGGAGGCCCCATGTTTCTTCTGTGCATAAGGTGATGCACTGTCAATAACAATCTCCTCTTTGCTGGTTCTTCTGTTTCATAGTGAGTGTAGAGACTCCGGAATCTGCAGTGCCACTCAGGAGAAGTGACAGTCTAAAGGGAGAGCATCCAAATAGTAAATTATCCCATTAATTTAATATAATATCTTATACATCTGTTTAAATATAATAATCAAATCACATAGTAAGAGATTAAATACCTCATTCTTGTTGATTCACAGTGAGTGGAGAATCCTCTAGTTCAGCCTCTCCAGAGTCAGTTTCTGTATCAGAGCTCAGGCTGGTGCTGCTGGGGAGGACTGGATGTGGGAAGAGAGCAGCAGGAAACACCATCCTGGGCAGAGAGGAGAGGAGCCAGGCTGGAGCGTCTACAGTGAGGCAGCAGAGTGAGAGCAGACAGGGGGAGGTGGCTGGGAGGCAGGTGACTGTGGTGGACACTCCTGACTGGTTCTGTCCTGGACTCTCTCTGGAGGAGCTGAGACAGGACGTGGGACTCTGTGTCCGTCTGTCTGCCCCAGGACCTCACGCTTTCATCCTAGTCATACCAGTGAAGCAGTCTACAGGAGAGGAGAGAGGCATGCTGGAGAAAATGGAGGAGATTTTTGGAGAGAGATGTTGGAGGAACACCATGATCCTTTTCACTGTTACTGATGAAGTCCAAGAGAAGAACATTGAAGAGTTTATCCAGTCAGGAAACCAGGAGGTCCAGAGACTTGTAGAGAAATGTGGGAACAGGTTTCACTGTCTCAGCATTAAGGAGAGTGGAGATGGTTCTCAAATCTCAGAGCTGCTGGAGAAGATAGAGAAGATGGTGGAAGGAAACAGAGAGAAATTCTACAGCAGTGAGATCTACCTGGAGACAGAATCTCAGATCAGAGCAATGGAGACAAAGATTATGAAGGAAAGAGAAGCAAAGAGGCTAAAAAAAGAAAAAGAATTGACAGAAAAACTAGAAAAGGAGGTGCAGTACTCTCTCAGAAAGACAGAAGGAGCAGTACAAGAGCATGAAGGAGAGATAAAACAACTGAATGACCGAACAACTGAGCTAGAGAGAAGGATGAAAGAAGAGAGGGATGAAGAGAAAAAGAGAGAACTGGAACGAGAGCTAGAAAGGGAGCTAGCACAAAGAATAGGAATGGAGGAAAAAGTGAGAAAACTAAAAGAAAAGAGAGAGCGAGAGAGGAAAGAGATGGAGGAGAGACACAGACAGGAGATGGAGGAGATCAGGGAGATGTATGAAGGAGAAGCCAGAATGGAGGCAGAGAGGAGCCTCATGAAGGTCATCCTGCCTGAACTCCAGAGAAACATCTTGGTCTCCAAGTCAAAGATACAGGAAGAGTTCAGCAGACAGACGGAGGAGAAGGACAGAGAGCTGGAGACACTGAAACAAAGCCTCTCAGAGCTCAGAAAGACTCACTCACTTCTGGAGGAGGTTTATGAGAGAACAATGAAGAGCAGCTCAGACTCAGAGAGAGCAGCTCCAGCAGCAGAAGGAGGGTCTGAGGGAATCTTTCAGAGGTTTAAGGATTGGCTTCATTGATGAACAGAAAGCACAAAGACTCAATTTGTCATTCAGCAGTGGTGATCATGGAGAAATTAAATCTAATATGAAAAGACGTTTGCCATTATTTAGAGTGCAGAAGTGGCTTGTCATAAAAGACCAATCGGGCTTTTACTTTTGTGAATGCATTTTTTAGACGGATTTTGCCATAGACATCAAATTTAGTTCAGGTATGTAGATTGCAAGGCATGTCATGGACCTGACACATTTCACAGGCTGAAGATTTGAACCCACATCAACAGGAACTCATGAATGCATGTATGTTTGTAGTAAAAAACTGTTAGTGTTTAAAGTAAAACACTATGTAAATAAGCAGACACACAGTACATTCAATGCTACTGCCAATGCAATGCTATTAGAGTTACAGTACTTCAGCTACATTGTGGAGATGACCACTGGTACAAAATAATGGAAGTGTGGTGCTTTGTATCAGTGACACTGCGTATCTTTGTTTTAAAGACTTTTAATGTGAAGAATGGATCTCTTTTCAAAGAACTGACATGCTAAGGGGCTTTGTGAGGGGAGGGGAACCTCAGGAAAAAAGGAATATAGGAGTTCTGATTTGGGAAATTTAATGGATTTGTTTTAATCATCTATTTGAGTTAAAAGAAAGTTAAGAGATTGGATGGATTTTGCCATAGACATAAAATTTAGTTCAGGTATGTAGACTGCAAGGCTTTTTCCTCAGATAACTTAATAAGTAAGCCTATAACACAAAGATCTCACTGAAACAGCTGTGGTAGACTGCCTTACTCTAAACCACAAACTCCATGAACTCAGACTGGACCTCTAATGAGGATAGTAGATGTTTCATAGTACTGTACAGTGGCTATCTTGTAACACTATTCATTCACAACAGAGTAAATTTTGCTTTGTAGTTGTGAATGAACTGAATTAACGTGGACAGCAACATATAATATGAAGCTGAATAAATCTGTATAATGCTGTAATTTATTTTCAAAAGTAAAGTTTTTTTTTTACTGTACATGTGTACAAATAAAGAAAATATATATTTTGTTATGCCTCTCCTTCATCTCTGGTTAGTGATAAGGAGAAAATATGAATATATAAATTGTGTTTACACTGTGCAGTGCAGCATTTACTCAACATTATCTGCACTATTAGAACTCTGCTGCCACCCTGTGGACCAAGGTAGTAACACCAGTACATTTTTAAATAAAATTAATCTCACAGCAATTTCAGAAGAACAATAATCTTTTAATATACAGCATAATAATCCGTGACTAAAAACCTCAAACATGTATAAGCAAACTTGTCATTTTTCTTTTATTTTACTGTGTGAAATGATTACATGTGAAGAACCAGTGAACACTCCGTGTTTGGCATGTGCATATAAAACTAAGATATGAAATGTTGAGATGTGTGATGCAGTTGAGTTATAATCTTTAATCATGTGCAGAGAGAATGTACTGTGTAAAGAGACACTTTACAGAGGCATTTGTAACCAATATAAATAGAAAGTATTTATAAATACAAAATATTTAAGTAAATAGTCTCTCAATATGCAAAACTGCAAAATAATTGATGGTGCACAATTTTAATCTACAATGAATCAAACCAATCAATCTTGCTCAACTAATGAATCTGTATGTAGATACGTGTCCAGGACTTTGAGGGTGCAGTCCTTCATATTCTCTCCACCGACCCTGGATATCTGCACATCCTAAAAAACAACACAGTCAAAATAGAGAGAGTAAATAATAGAAAGAGAGAAAGGGGTAAAAAAACCTTACAGACCTCCAACATGGGAAAGGTCTGAGTGCTAGACAGGATGGAGGCAAGCAGAGGCAAATGGAAAGCATTTGGAAAGTCAAACACAAGAGAGTGACAAATGCAAAAATAGCAGGGAAAAAGGTGTTAGGAGTCTAAAACAGGATGGGAGTCTTGAGATGATTGGAGTTTGAACTCTGGGGTATGTCACTGTGTTTAATAACTCAGATGCAGAATTTGTGCCCCGCTGTATTCACAACAGGAGTTATTTTTATTTTATTGTGCTAGTTGCTGGGAAGAAATGTCATAAACCAACACTAACTATGTTTTTTTAAACAGCGTCACAGTCACTAAAATTTAGTACACAAAAACCTGTAGGTTGATATTTGGTTATTTGTGAATGTATTTAGCCAATTGCTGTTGTCACTCCAGTTAAAATATATATACATATATATAGCAACTTGGACTGTGTTTGAGATAATCCAAATCTAGAAAACAAGATAAGCAACACCAGTGTATTCATTCAAGTCATTAGTGGGTTAATGTTTCTCTGAGAATGTACTGTGAAACAGCTGTGAATGTATTCTGTAGACCAGGGTGTCATACTTAACCACTAAAAGGGCCATATTAAAAAATCTCAACAAATCTGTGGGCCAGAGAATGAAATGTGAAATAACAAAATATGAGATGGTTTTATTTCATTTTTAAATAACATTTTGCTGTAACCCAAACTGGCCATTGTTTATGGAAAATACATCGAACATCAACAGCAAAATATAGGCATGTTGAATTGCATATTGAATATTTGAAATATACCTTGTGTACTGTGGAGATATAATGAATATATTACTATTATAATCAATAAGAAATCCATAATCATATACTAAAAATTTGATTGACAAAAGTGTATTAATCCTCTCACTAAGAATAGGCCTTGCTGTATGTAGGTTAGGGGATTTCGCAATGGAGAGTCCCTAGAGTTCAGAAGCTTCTAGAAGCTAGTGTACTTTGTTGCAAGGACAAACTGGCCTGTGAGAGGGGAGGTAAGCTGATAGGGAACCAGGCCATTTCCCTCCTTCACAAAGAACTCTATGGCTGAAGTCTTTTATTCGACTTTCTTTTATTTTTAACTGAACTTTATTTTATTTTGCGTTTATGACGAGAACCAGCAATCAGATTTATTAAAGAACTGAAATATAGTTATAGAACAGATTAGTATAATTCTATCCATATGTTGGGGCTCTGAGTTAGCGGGAATCGCACTTAGTCCCGACAGTACATATATGTGTGTGTGTGTGTGTGTGTGTGTGTGTGTGTGTGTGTGTGTGTGTATGCACTTTTTGCATAGCCGCTCTGCAGAGAGCGAAAAGAAATGGCGTGGCTCGAGGAGCTCTGGGACCTCAATGGCTTTGGCTGAGTCAGTCTAAGTGGCTGTCTAGCAAATAGGAGTTCCATAATTCTGGGGCCCCACCACAAGAGGCAGGGTGGAGGCCCTGTGTGGGCTAAACTAAAAATGTCACTGACATGACTGTCATGTAGTAATGCGACAAAACTAAAGCTGGGACTGACTTTTAGAAATCTGCAGTGATCTGTATTCCAGCATGCTAACAGAAGGAATAAATAAATGCTCTTACCTTTAACAATGCCCGAAACGTCCCTACCTCCTTGCATTTTTCTGAGTAAATTCCTTCACAATGTCAGTCACATTGGTCAGGACATTGTGCTTCTCAGGTAGCTTTTGATGATTTTCAATTTTGAAAAAGACCTTTCTGCACTGGCCATAATGACAGATATGGCTAAAAAAGCAGTAGCCACGTCCGTCACACTAGACAGAATTGAGGAATGCCTCAGGAGCAAAAGCTCAGTCAGATTGTGCTCACTGTTTCTCTGATCCGAGAGCATTTTGGTAGGAAAGTAACTGTGATGGAAACCCAGGTGAAAGATCATCCTTGTAAATAATGCATCATCACTTGCCTGCAAGAGTTCTGCTGGACACAGAAATCGAAATCGTCTTGCAATTGCACCCATCCCACCAAATCGCCTTTTGACTTGGAAAACAACTGTGTCAATGCACGCATAGAAAACACCTACTTTGAAACTTTCCTCTGGATTTGTTAGGCGCTGATCCTCAGTTAATTCATCAAAATGTCTTTTTATTCGTCGTGTGCGTTTATGACTGAAGTCACATCTAATGCCCCGAGAAGTTGCAAGTCCTTGAGCTGTGCTTTTGCGATCCTCAAACTGGTCCCATAGCTGTGTTAATGTACTTATTGCATGTACTTATTAAATTCCACTCGTAGTGCTAGCTCCATCCTATCCTTGTCATCTACATTTGTGAAGTGACAGTCCCTTGCTCTGAATAAGTTTAATGATTTTTGTTTTGAGCCCCTGGGCAGTCTGATCTGAAATATTTTGAAAGCCTAAAAACTCTCATTAATACCTGCAATTGTGTTGTCAGTTTCGTCTTTTCGACCAGTCACGTACCTGAACACTTGACTTGATTCACCTTGCTTAAGTTCTAAGTAGTGTCCATAATTACTGAGCAAAACTCTGCTTCCTTAATTTCAGACATAATCGTATCCTGTAGTCTTTGAGACAACAATGCAATTAATTCATTCTGAATTGCGCTTTTTTATCAAGGAGCTGTTGTAAAACGGGATCATAGCATGCCAACAGATCAACTACTAATAGGAAGTTTCCATTGTTTAGTTAACCTCTTTTTTCACAGTGCCCCCTGAAAGCTAGATTGCATGAAGCCAATGTCAAAGTCACATCTGCAATTCTCATGAGCACTTCGGACCATATGGTCTTCCACATATCAAATATCACACAAGCTCATAAATTTGCATGAGATGAGTTTTTTTTTATTTATTTTAGCAGAAAGCCCTGAAAAAAAGCCAGCATGACTCTAATTGACAGTAAACACGGTCACAACCATTTGTGAGGAATTTTGCAACCCATCTTAGACGTTTTGAAGTAAAAATTATATTATAATTATATAAATTATATTGTTATAATTAATAATATATTTATATGTTAAAAGCCTAAATTATTCTTTCCTGTGTTGGCTCTGCCTTTTCTGAGCGCAACTTTTATTTTTTCGTTTGCTCATCTTAAGCAAGATATGTGCTCACTCCAACAGGCTGGCCATTTTGGTGGCCTAAGATCATCCAGGAAGGTGACTGGACACAATTTTGATCGAGGCCCACCGCAGTGCATGCCCCTTCGCTACGCCAGTGAGGAGGTGCTGGCCATGCATTCCAAGATTTTCAAGAATGTTGCATATAAATTAATAGCCCATTTAAGCCAAATTTTGTCAACCGTTGGTAGGAGAGTTGCTGAAGTTAGTCTTTTGCTGGTTTCGACGCTGCTTAAGTCAATAGAAAATCCTGGGTCTGACTCCCAGTGGCAACTATTATTTGTACTGTTTGCTTGAAAGCATGTCAAAGAGCGATACAGAGTACTGTGGCACGAGGACCCCCTTCACTCTACAGGTTTGAGACTATTCAAAGTTGTGGGTTGAAGTCCCACCAGAGTCCTTCATCACCTTGTGAGAGTTGAGTTCCCTGTGTCTGTTGCTCCCTTGCTAATCGCAGTCCAAACACTGTGAAAGAGAGGGACATACAGTATTGCGTTTGAGGCTGTTCTCACTGTCTATGCTTTGTTTCCAAAATTTTATTCCCCAGTTGTGTTAAGAGTTGTAAGAGTTTGCAAGAGTCCTTACCGTACAGAGTTGAATAATCCAACGCATCTGATGCACATCAATGGATTGAAGTTCCTAGATCTGCTCTATCTTTCAGATTCAACTATTAAAGCGATTGTCTGCTAAGGAGGAGATCCTGGGATGCTCTCCCAGCCGCACTTGTGTGCACTTTTTGCACAGTCCCTTGACAGAGAGCGAAAAGAAATGGCATGGCTCGAGGAGCTCTGGGACCTCAAAGGCTTTGGCACCGTGGCTTAGTTGGTTTAAGCGGCTGTCTAATAAACAGGAGATTCTGGATATGCATTCCAGCAGTGCATATTATATCTTTTCAGGATTTTCAGGAATGTTGCATATAAATGAATAGCCCACTGAGGTTTTGGCCAAATGATTTGTTTTTTGATTGCTCTGCTTTACCTCTGTTTTAGTGATGCTCAGGGGTGTAAAATGTACTGAAAATCCCTACTTAAGCACAAGGACTGTTACTGTAGTGATAATTTTAACTAAAGTAACTTAAGTACTCAAGTTAATTAGTTACTTTTTTGTAGTTCCGCTGTCACGACCTGAACATATTTCTGAGCTGACTCGGCTACATCATTGGAAATAATCTGTACAGAAAAACACTAAAGCTAAAGTTCTCAGAGCTGAGACTGATCACAGTTCGCTCTGCTAGAGCACAGTTACACACCTTTCTGTGAACTGTGTAAGGAACAAGGTTTACATTAAACTGCATGTGTTTCATGGTTAGTTGATTATATAAGACTTCCTAGTTTATTTGTTTCTAATAAAGTATGTAAGAATCAGAGACTGTACAGAGACTGTTACTGTTTAACTTCATTTAAGAGACTGAGTCAAAATTATAAGTAGATTGCTTAATTTATAATGTTTAGTGAGAGTCCTGCTGCCCATCAGCTCCCTGGACTCTAGCGTACGTTAATAGGTGTGAACCTCAACAGACAGTAAACACATTCACAGCCTTCAAACTGTATATTTATAAACTGTATATTTATAAACTGTATAAACTGACAAAGAGAGAGAGATAGAGAGAGAGAGACAGAGAGAGGGTGGGAAGATGGGGAGGGATCAGATCAGGCCAGTCAGCTTAAACAACGACAGTCGATGAAGAACCGAACTAAAGCTCTAATGCTGGATGAACAGTTGGATATTCATACGTTTCGATGGAGTAACAAGAAAAAATTCTGCCGTCAGCGGAGTGTTCCATCAAAAGTTCAATTTTCTGAACTTTTGCCGTGAACTGTGGGGTGGAATAAACCAGATGTTATTTTTTTGGGAGCCAGGAACACCAAATATTTAATTTCAGAAATTAAGCATCATACTAAACAAATTAAAATTGTACAAAGTATCTTTCTGCTTTGTTTCCACTGTATATAAACAATCAACACTGCTACAGCTCTCCTCTGATAATCATCCATTTTCACCATTGACACTGTCACCATGCCAGTGTTTGCGTGGCTGCTGCTGTTGGTCGCTGTGAGGCACAGAATGGCATTTTTTCCAACACCAACATCAAAACCTCTTCACCACTAAATTTAATAGTATCCATGATTATGTAGACCAAAATTATGGAACTAAGAAATTAAAAAATAAGACTGTAGACAGAAATGAAGAAACTATTAAATAATTAAAAATTAAATCTAGAAATGTGTTTATAGTGATGACAAATATGACTGCAGCAATTAAACTCATACAAAACTTTGATTGTACAATTGTTTTTTGAACTACATATAAATAAAAAATATGACATAAATGCGGTCGGTAAGGAGCTCTCACTGATCTGACCGAGTGATTATAACTGGATCACTGAGAGTTCCCCAAAGGAGCCGCTGTGTTAACCTGCTAAACAGTCCTCTAGTGTCCTCTTGATGATCATCTCCTCCTGCTGTGATTCCCTCTCTGACTCCCTCTCTGACTGCCTCTCTGACTCTCTGTCTCAGTGTTTCTATCTCTCTCTCCTTTTCATCCATCCTACAATCAAACTCTTTCTGTTTCTTTGTCATGAGTTCCCAGATTCTCTGCTGGAGTTCAGACAGGATGATCTTCATGATTCTCTCTGCCTCCATTCTGGCTTCTCCTTCATACGTCTCCCTGATCTCCTCCATCTCCTGTCTGTGTCTCTCCTCCATCTCTCTCCTCTCCTTTTCAGTCTCTTTTTTCAATCTCTCCAGCTCCAACTGAACCTCATTCCTCTGCTGAATCTCTCTCTCCACCTCTCTCTCCAGCTCTACCTTTCTCTTCTCATCTCTTTCCTCTTTTAACATTCCCTCTAGTTTAGTTATTCGCTCTTCATGCTGAGTTATTTTTGTATGAAAGTCAGCAGTTGATTCTGTAAACTTCATTAAAGTTTCCTGTCTACATCTCTCCAGCTTCTCTCTAGTTTTTCTTTCTTGTCTCTCTCTCATCTCCTCTCTTTCTCTCACAATTCTTCTCTCCATCTCTCTGATCTGAGACTGTGTCTCCAGGTAGATCTCACTGCTGTAGAATTTCTCTCTGTTTCCTTCCACCATCTTCTCTATCTTCTCCAGCAGCTCTGAGATTTGAGAACCATCTCCACTCTCCTTAATGCTGAGACAGTGAAACCTGTTCCCACATTTCTCTACAAGTCTCTGGACCTCCTGGTTTCCTGACTGGATAAACTCTTCAATGTTCTTCTCTTGGACTTCATCAGTAACAGTGAAAAGGATCATGGTGTTCCTCCAACATCTCTCTCCAAAAATCTCCTCCATTTTCTCCGGCATGCCTCTCTCCTCTCCTGTAGACTGCTTCACTGGTATGACTAGGAGGAAGGCATGGGGTCCTGGGGCAGACAGGCGGACACAGAGTCCCATGTCCTGTCTCAGCTCCTCCAGAGAGAGTCCAGGACAGAACCAGTCAGGAGTGTCCACCACAGTCACCTGCCTCCCAGCCACCTCCCCCTGTCTGCTCTCACTCTGCTGCCTCACTGTAGACGCTCCAGCCTGGCTCCTCTCCTCTCTGCCCAGGATGGTGTTTCCTGCTGTTCTCTTCCCACATCCAGTCCTCCCCAGCAGCACCAGCCTGAGCTCTGCTACAGGAACTGACTCTGGAGAGGCTGAACTAGAGGATTCTCCACTCACTGTGAATCAAGAAGAATAAAGCATTTAATCTTTTACTGTGTGATGGTGATTCTATAATTTAAGATACTGTATGAAACTGGAATTTTAAACATCTTAAAATTAAGAAAAAGGAAAGAAAGTCTCTTTCTCCTCAGCCTGGATCTCCCTGGATCAGCTCAGCTGCTCCTCCTTTAGGTAAAAAGTTCCTGCAGTAACGTTTGTAGCAGCATCCACTCCATTTCTCCTACTTTTGCTCATTTTCTTTCATATCTAGCAGTTCTACAAAATGTACTCAAAACTAGACGTTTAGTCACAATATTTTTCTGCTGTTGGCTTTTGAACATTAAAATGAAAAATGATGCCACAGTCATGACAGATAAACAGGTTGTATCAGTGAAATGACCAGCTTTAGCTTAATTATAACAATGAACATCACCATTATGTGTAAACAGACTTAATTTATCATTTGTATTGTACAAAAGTGTTTTTTGATTTCATGTATAACATTCTGAGCTTGTAGACACATCAATTGTAGTGCTAGTAAAAAGTAATGGACTTTGAGTGACACAATAGAAATAATGTGTACACAGCATACGCTATTTGGACAAAAGTATTTGGACACACCTCTTAATCGTTGAATTCAGGTGTCACATTCAGTTTCATTGTGAAATTTCTTCCCTCCTAGATATTCCACGATCAACTATGAGTGGTATTATGGAAAAGTGGAAGTGTTTAGGAATTGCAGCAACTCAGCCACAAAGTGTCAGGCCATGCAAAGTTACAGAGCGGGGTTGCCGAGTGCTGAGGAGCATAGTGCATAAAAGTCACCAGCGCTCTGCTGACTCAATATCACTCTGGCATTAACATCAGCACAAAAACTGTGCGCCGGAAGCTTCATGACATGAATTTACATAGTCGAGCAGCTGTATGCAAGACTTACATCATTAAGTACAATGCAAAGCATCAGATGGAGGAGTATAAAACACACCGCCACTGGACTATGGAGCAGTAGAAACGTATTCTGTGGAGTGACTAATCACGCTTCTCTATCTGTCAGTCTGATGGAGGAGAGGAACAATACCTGCCTGACTGCATTGTGCCAGCTGTAAAGTTTGGTGGAGGAGGGATAATGTTACGGGGTAGTTTTTCAGGGATTGGCCTAGGACTCTTAGTTCCAGTGAAAGGACACTTTAATGCCTCAGCAGACCAAGACATTATGGACAATTGTACGCTTCTAACTTTGTGGGAACAGTTTGGGGAAGAACCTTTTCTGTTCCAGCATGACTGAGCCCCTGTACACAAAGCAAGGTCCATAAAGGTATGGATGGGTGAGTTTGCTGGGTAAGAACTTGATTGGCCTCCATAGAGCCCTGACCTCAACCCCATCAAACACCTTTGGGATGAACTAGAATGGAGATTGTGGGCAAGTCCCTCTCGTCCAACATCAGTGTCTGACCTCACAAATGGATGAATGGGAAACAATTCCCACAGACACACTCCAAAATCTTGTAGAAAGCTTCCCAGAAGAGTGGAAGCTGTTATAGCTGTAAAAGGGAGACCAACTCCATATTAATGCCTTTGGATTTAGAATGGGATGTCATAAAAGCTTCTGTAGGTATAGTGTGTAGTGTCCCAAAACATCTGTTCATATAGTGAATCTCAGACTCTTACACTTGTGTTCTCTGTTCCCATGTTCTTGTGAGTTTGTGTTTGCAAGGTAACTTGTGAAGAAAGTTGTTCCGAAAAATGCAAGTCCATTCTTCTCGTTCTTGGTAGAGAAATGTCCGCTATTTTCTAATAGCTGTTAGCCAAAATAGAAAGTTCAAAGACATTTTTAGGAAGTTAAATGGAAACTGAAGCACTACTTTCTTTAAATGGGTGGGGCTAAATAAGTTTGTAGTAGCCACTGTCATGAAATTTATAAACAAGTGTTTAATATTTTGCTTTACACCTGTATATTAGAGCATAATAAACAATTGTTATATTTGTTTTAATTCATATCAAATCATATTTTGTCTTGAATATACACCTGTCTTCTAATTTGTTACAGATGTACAATGTGTAATATTTTTTAGAGCAAAGTACACAATTTAAAAATTTGTATTTTGAAAATCTTCATGCAACCCTAGTTATTACTTACTGTTTGGAAGGTCTAACTCTTTGCTGTTTCTCCTCCTGGCTGGAGCTGCTGAGTCTGGATCTGTTCTCTCCTGCAGCTGCTTGTTTCTCTCCTCTAGAAGTCTGTCTTTCTCCTCAACCTGCTTGTCTCTTTCCATTAGCTGTGTGTTTCTCTCACTTAGAAGTCTCTCCTTCTCTTCAAGCTGTTTGTCTTTTTCACTCACTTCAGTTTTCTGTTGTTCCAGTAGGATCATCATCTCCTGTAGTTTGCTGCTCTTGTCCTGCAGCTCCTTTCTCAGAGTCTCCAGCTGCTTTTTACTGCTTTCCACCTGTTTCACTGTGATCTCCAGTAGAGTCTCTTTCTCTCTCAGCAGTTTGATCTGATTCTCCAGTTGTGAGTCTTTATCTTTAAGCTGTTTAACACTTCCATCAATACTTGAATCAAAACTGCGTTTCAGTGTCTCCAGCTCTCTGTCCTTCTCCTCCATC